TTTTTTTTTTTTTGGGGGGGGGGGTACCGACTTGGCCTTCAATATGTGAAAATAGCACGGGTAGTCAGTTTTCAGACTCGTAATTGATAAATAGTCAGCGTTTGTAAAGTCATTAAAAAATAATCACTATTTTGCTACAACACGGAGAGTTCCACGATAATATACTGGAGATTGGAGCACCTGTATATGAACTTCCAGCATATTATGATGGAACTCCAGCACACGGAAAGTTCCAGCATAATATATTGGAGATTGGAGCACCTGCGTATGAACTTCCAGCATATTATGCTGGAACTCCAGTATATTGTGTTGGAAGTTCACATGTAAAAAAATCGAACTCCAATATATTATGATGGAATATTTTTCGAATTTTAAATAGTGTTTTCGTTCAGATTTATCTTTACATAAAAAGTGGCTAAATTTCGATTAAATTTGAAATTGTAACTATTTTTCAATTATTGCTTGTAAATCTGGTTATTTTGTAATTTCACTCCTTCAATATTTGTATTGGGCCCACACTAAATTTGGATTTACATTGAAAAATTCCACTTTTGAGGGAAAGAATTTCTTACTTCGTATTCATAGCTCGAACTAGAAACCTCGAATTCAAGATAAGTGAGTAATTATGACATCACCACAACTCTGTTCGTACAACAAATCATGTTTGTTCGTCTTCGTACAAATGTTAGGGATATCAAGAAATTAAACGATCGAGGAGAAAGAAATTGGTTCCTAAGGGCAATATATTACTTAATTTACCTGTTATTGAATGCTTTTGATTAAACAAATGATATTTTCTTTCTATTTAAATTTTGTATCAATCCATTTCTCATTCTTTCAATTAAAGAAAGGTCCAGAATATCAAAATATATCGATCGATCCTACTTAGACTGCATGGCAAATCCAATAAAATATTTTATAAACTTTTCCCCCCATAATCTGGTTATCTGAAATTTGAAATGTTAATAAGTTTTATTTTTAATAAGGATTTGAAGTTTAAATTTTATTCACGAGAATATGAATTAATTGACCTCATTTTATCCTTAAAAGATAATAATTAATCCTTGTAATATATTTTAGCAAATGGAAAAAAAATATTAAGTGATTTCTTTTTATTACTCTATATCTCTGGTCTTCCTTTTTTTGTTTTTCTTCTTTGTTTCTCTTGGGGAAGGGGGAGGTGAGGTGAGAGGGGTGGGGTCTTCGATCTTTTTTTGTGATGTTTTATATGGCTTGCTAATGGTTTTCCTCTCTCCAAATCACGAGATTTAATTTATTTGTTTGACCAGTCCTCACTAATAATTAAGGACATCTCTTTCGTAATCAGAGACAATCAATGTTCATTATCAACTAATATTAGAGGAAAACTCTAATGGAAAATACTTACTTGCAACTTGAGTCCTAAACGTAATTAAACTAAATAATTTAACCTTAGCAATTACACATTAAACTAAATTTATATATCACTTAATCATGCTTAAGTGATAATAAATGTATAAATATATATACATGAAAGGGAATTCATTATTTTTATATAAACACATGGTGTCGATAAGGTTTTCCCTCTCATAATCTGTAAACTTAGCTTTTTTCTTTACTGGCATATATAACTACTGTGCCCATCTTTATGCACGTATTAATAAAAAGGATGTCCGGTGCACTAAACTCCCGCTATGCGCGGGGTTCGGGGAAGAGTCGGACCATAAGGGTCTATTGTACGCAAATTTATCCTGCATAGCTGTAAGTAGCTGTTTCCCTGACTCGAACTCATGGCCTCCTGATCACATGACACCAACTTTATTACTCCCATATTAAATATATAAATTGCTTTGGTATCTTTAGAAAGCAATAATTTGTCTATAAAAGGATTCAAGTGACTGAACCAAGAATATTAATGGGCAACACATAGAATTATATAAATTGCAAGCGTGCAATCAAGGTTATGATGATAAGAAGGGAGGGGCCTATCATCCACTTCAACAACCACTAATTAAATCAAATTCCATTATAATAAATAAAATAATATAAAAATTCCATGCTTTATTCAGTTAGTTGCAAATATAATCATGTAACTTTTCTTCTTGTTGAGCAACTTATTAATAATTGTAATTAAAAAGAAACAAATTGATATCTACAAACCACCACCATCCACCAATGAAATGATGAATATAATATTGCTATAGTTTCCTTCCTTTTCTTGATTTTTCTATCCTTCTCTGTCTTTCGGATAAAACGTGGAATATTTTGCTATGTTACACAATCATGCATTCATGAAAGAAAGAAAGAAAGGGTTTGATAGTTTCTTAAGAGTCAGCCTTAGATTAGTTAATTAAATGCTTGGATTTAATCATGCATTTTAAAGTAGTTTAATTTAATTAATAAATTTACACTTCTAGTAGCAAAAACAAGTAAACCTAACACCAAATTCGTTAACAAAACAAACATGTTCACAGCACTAAACAACAACAATAACCCAGTAGAATCCCACTAATGGGGTCTGAGGAGGGCAGTGTGTACGCAGACCTTGCCCCTACCCCAAAGGAGTAGAGAGGTTATTTGCGAAAGACCCTCGGCTCAAGAAAACAAAAAGACAAAACGACAAGAGGAGACAACATTAGTATCACCACAACAATTATAGAAAAAATAGGAACACCATGAAATGCAGAAGAAAGATGCAAAGCAAAAACGATAGCTAGTAAATAGGACATGCACTGAAAAGCGAAGTAGTAAAATACAACATTGTCACTAGCTACCCTAAACAAAAACCCTACGTGACTAGTCCCATAATAATAGGAAGTAAGTCAACACTCAACTACATCCTAACCTACAACTCTAATACTAAAGTAATGTATTAGAATAATGTAAAACTAAAAATAATGTATGTTCACAGCACTAAAGTAAAACTTAAAATAATGTAGTTAAACAATAATTTTCTAGATCTCTCAAGCATCGTTACTCCTCTATATATATGCATGGATCTACGAAAATAATAGTTTAATTTATGACAATTCTTAAAAAGAAAGAATGTTTATAAATTTTTGCTCCGGTTGAATATGAAGTATATGGATATAAGTTATGCCTTAGAATAAAAGACGATTGTAATCCGCTTTCTCTATGAATATAGAAACTATAACTAATGTAATTATGATTCTCGTGGAGAGTTTGATCCCGACTCAGGATGAACGCTACGTATGCAAGTCTGACGAGAAGTGTGTTGAGATTTTTTGTTTTTAAGATGAAATAGTCTTAAAATGAGGGTGAATGAGAAATGGAGGGAAAATGAAATTTTTGAGTAAAATTTTAAGTTTCTCCCTCTTGACAATGAGACATTGTCCCATATTGGAAAAGAAAAAAAATTTTGGTGGGTATATATATATTTGCTCTTCTTGTAACTCTTAAAGAGTTAAGAAGAAAGCAAGCCTCGCGCCGTCGTCGTCGTCGNATATGCTCTTCCCACCATGAATGTGCTTGCTCCACAAACAAGTGCTTGCTCCACAAATAAGCTAGTGCATGCTCCACCATGGAGGGTGGACGATTGTTCTTCATCAACACTGGCTGCTATATATATGTGCAGCAGCTGTTGAAGAAAGACACACACAATACACAAGACACAAAACTGAAATCGC